ACCCAGCTGAGATTAAGTTCCAGTACGTTTAACACCGCCATTAAATATCGCTCTTTTTTTTGCTTCTACCATCGACATATCTTATTCTTTTCATCACAAATCTTTTTTTTTCTATATACGCGGTGGAGCAGCGTTTACCGTTGTATGTATAGAAAATTGCTCTCAGAGCTCTAACGTTATGGTAACTTTTGGATATGCCTTGTTTTAGCCCTTGGAATGAAACCAGCGTTAAAAATGACAAACCAAAGCAAAATTCACATTTATTATTTTTCCGAATCCTGAAAGAGAAGCTTTGCGTGACTCATACAGTCACGAGAACGGAAATCCTCAAAGTGTATTCCAACAATATCTATTATCTCACTCTTACACTGGTCAGCTCTGCACTACCATCAGAGTTCTTCTCGACAGCCAATCTTGGCTCTTCGTCACCATTGACTCTTTCTTTGTCTACATCTCCATTTGAAATCAAGGTTTTTCCTGTCTTCATCCCAGCAGCTTCAGCAAACTCGCAACTTCCAGGCTTATGCTTCTGAGAAGATTTTTTCGGAGTTAACTCGGCAGTCAGCATTTTTTCCAGTTTTACTATGGGCACTTCAAAGAGACAACTCCAGAAGAAAGCGAATACGTAAGAAACAACAACGATGGGAATGACCTTGTGTATGTACTGTAAAGGTTTAGTGAAGTCTATATAATAGCAAGCTTTTAAGGTTTTACGACTTACCGTTCGCCAAATGGAGGTGAAATGCGCTGGTCGATCATCTAGATTGTAAACATAGCGTATAAGAAAATAGTGTACAATGTATCCGCAGTATGATAATCTTCCTAATGGTTGCCATATTGGATGATCCATAAATGAGGCGATCAACCCTGGAACTCTATTGCATAATTCTGACTTGCGAATCTTAGCTGTGCCCACCTCCCCATCCCCAATGGTTCGCCACGATAACCCAACATACTGCTAAAGTCCATCCAATTCGGGAGAAATTGTTGTACGTGGCTCGGGTGACTACGCTTAAAAAGGTTCTGTATGTACCGTTTCGAGCAATTTCACATTGCGAAAAGTCTTTTGACCTTTCATTCCGTTTGACTCCAAGTGTATTGTTAAGGACAACATTAACACAAAAATATCAATTTTTTGAGATTATTGAATACTAGCCCAGCTGTGAGCTTGCTTACCCCCAATTGTTATCTCCTTTTATATAGTTATGAGGACCATATAGAGAAGCTAAGGCAATCGCAGCTGCTAACATCCATAGTGGTGCCACGAAGAACTAAACACATGAAGTCCTCTATCCTTTTCTGCTGATTTCTTGTCACTCACCTTGCTTATCCTTGGCTTTTTTCCAAGTGCTAGTCCGTATCCTACAGCTATTCCAATCAAAAAAGGAGGACACCTAGTCCAAGGTTTTACATATTGCAAGTCAAAGAATTTTGTAAAATCTCTAAACAGTACGACAGCTATTTTTGTTAAGTGATTGCATTTCCTTCTGAGAAAAATAAAGCTCTCACACAATTGCAAAAAATCCCATTATTATTGCTGGCAATGATTTTTGTATTGTAATGGCATATACTATACCAACACTGGCCGCAACACATGCGAAGATAAGCAAAAATCCTAAAATATCAAAAAAAAAAATTCTCACTTATTGTTATTATTCAGTGAATATTTACCAGCAATTGGAGCAATAGAAAGTAGGATGAGGAAGACTGGAGCGACAAAATAAAGCTGTGTATCAACGGAAAGGTACCATGTTATTATATAACATATCTGAATTTGCGCTTCCTTCCTTTTTTTCTAATCGATTTGCTGAAATAAGCTTACCTCCTCGAATTTGAAAAAGTTGTTTATGTAAAGCAGATTACGCCACCAGTATTTTTTACA